AGAAGCTTTCTGCACATTGAGAAGGAACATGTGAAGGAGAATGAACTATTTCAGTGAATTACAATGTCATCAACTTCATCAGGTAGTAGAGCAAAACTAAAGCAAAGTAGTGTGGTTGAGTTATTTCAGAGCAGAATTACGAATCTCCCAGCAAGAGCAATTTTAGCAAATGTTTCTGAAGCCAGGGTTATGTAAGCATTTAATCTAAGAACATGTTTGTTTTTAAGTAAAATCATACAATTTTATCACCAAAGTGTTGAAAAAAAACAGAGCATACGCTGAAAAGTTCTGACAGCTATGATACAATGGACTGACTCCAGGCTCAAAAGAATAGAAACAGTGGGGTAAAATGAGAATAAGGCACACTTAATGTCAACTTGAGATACAGTAGGGCCACTGAATTTTGGCAGTGGATACAACGAAATATACTTTAAGAGGGATAATATGAAGCAATGCACACAGACAAGCTTGTGGAGTCAAAGCCTTTAGGCAGGAAGAATTCACACACCAGTGTCTGATTGCTGTGGGACAGAGAGTCCTGCACAACAGAACAAACTTACCTGGACACCATAAAATCCCCAGAATGTTTTAGCCATTGCCGTGCTGCCTGGGATTTCCAACAATTATTACATTTATTAGGGCACCCAGATTCTGAAAAATATTCTCTTAATTTTTACATTCCATATGAATTACCATTATAAGAAAAACCTTTTCAGTAACTGCCGTGTTTCTTATAAGAAAGCCATAATTTAGAACTGGGTGTGAAGAAAAAAAAGCATTCAAATGAGAAATATTGGAGTATACAATTCCTGTCTTTTATCTATTGTAACTGGCATAATGGCCTAGATTTTCCCTTACAAAACATATTGTTTGTCACATATCTTCCATGAATACAGGCAGAACTTCACACATCCCAGGGTCAATGTGTAATAAGAGATTAAAGTTTTTATTTCTTATAGTTACCCTTCCTGGGCTGCTAGAAACCACAATTACCCACTTCCCTGGAAGTTTTTTTGTAGGTTCTCATCCTACTGTTTCAAATGTCAAAATTCCACCTCAACAGGTATTCCATATACTGTACGAGCTATATGGGTGACATGTGATTGATGGATCCAAGTCTTCATTCAACCCTGTCTCCTAATTTTATAAATTGAGTATTTTCTCCTTATTAAAGACTGCCTATTGCAGTGATGGCGAACCTTTTTCTCGTTGCGTGCCGGAAGTGTGTGTGTGTGTGCGCACGATAACGCCCGCGCGTGCCAGCACCCATAATGCAATGCGATCCCCACACATACACATACACACGTGACATCCCACGCATGCACCCCACATTGCGCATGCATACGTTCTGCATTGCGCATGCGCAGTCCCCCACATGCGCTTCGTGCCTCCCCACCGCGACTTGTTTTGGGCTTTCGGGAGCAGGGATTGAAGCGCAAGAACCGGCTCCGCTGGGTACAAAGGGGTGGGGGAAAGATCTGCTTTGGGGCTTCCCTTCTCCCCAGCCAAGCTCCAGACCTGTCCAGGGGCAGGGATTGAAGCCCCCAATTGCTGCTTCTGGCAGCACAAGAACCGGCTCAGCTGGGAAAAAGGGGGTGGGGAAAGATCTGCTTTGGGGCTTCCCTTCTCCCCAGCCGAGCTCCAGATCTGTCCAGGGGCAGGGATTGAAGCCCCCAATTGCTGCTTCTGGCACCACAAGAACCGCTGTTGCCGGGGATGAGGGGGTGCCAGCGCCAGAAGCAGCGGGCTGGGGCTTCAATCCCTTTCCCTGGACAGCCTGCTCGGGTGCGGAGACAGGGAAGCCGCAGATCGCAGATCCTTCCCACCACCCCCTTGCACCCGGTGGCGGCGGTTCTTGCGCTCCCCTTCCCCAGCGATGGCAGGAGCAGTTGGCGGGAGAGAGGGTGGTGGCAGACTGCAGCAGCAGGCTGGTCACGCTGGCTATAAGGCAGCAGAGGCTCCTCCTCCTGCCACCCTCGCGCTCCAGGCAGCGTCCAGGCAGCCATATCTGTCCTCCCCCTGCGCCAGCCCACGTGGATTCCAGGCAGTGCAGCTGCAGGGCCTTTCCTCGCAGTGGCGATGGTGTGATGAGGCAAGCAGGCAGCCGGGCATAGGGGAGTGACTGGTGGCAGTGCTCCTGGCTGGCAAGGGGTGATCCCGGGGCTGTATGCGGGCAACGATGGCATGGCCGGTGCGCACCTGCATTAAAGGCCAGCTGATTGTCATGCACGCGTGTGCACCAGTAACCCGCAGACTAGCTGGCTGGTGCGCATGCGTACCCTGGAAACCCGGAAGAGGAATGGGCGACGCCACGCGTGCCAGGCAACATGGCTCTGCGTGCCACTTCCGGCACGCGTGCCATAGGTTCGCCAACACTGGCCTATTGTATAAACATAATCCTTGTTTCATTTAATGCAAGTAGTACTTGACTTCCGACACAATTGATCCCAAAATTTATGTTGTTAAGTGAGACATGTGTTAAGTGAGTTTTGCCCCATTTGCTACAGTTGTTAAATGAATCTGGCTTCCCCATTGACTTTGCTGGTCAGAAGGTCACAAAAGAGGATATGACACCAGGACACAGCAATGGTCATAAATATGAACCAGTTCCCAAGCATCCAAATTTTGATCATGTGATCATAGGGATGCTGCAAAAGTTGTAACTTTGAAAAACGGTCATAAATCACATTTTTCAGTACCATTGTAACTTTCAATGATCACTAAATGAAGTGTTGTAAGTCGAGAACTACCTGTGTAACATAAAGACTCCTTTAAGTTGACTTCAACTTCTGATCACTTCAAGGAATGTTTGTGAGCTTCTTAAAATTTGTTTGCCATTATTTTTTTCCAGGATGGTTTTTGACTTCATAATCTAGTCTATAGTCTTGGTATTTTTGGTGGCTCCTATCCAAGTACTAAACAGGACTTGCCCCATTAAGTTTCTGAAGATCAAGCAAGGACGGGTGTGTGCTGCCATCTAGCTAGGATCCTTTGAGTTTCAAAATTGTATAATTTATTTAAACTAAGGGTAGGCATACAGACTTTAAAAAAAAAATTATTGGAGAGGTTGGGAAATTGACTCGGTGATCCAATGCATGTGGGCAGGGGCAGGGTTTCAGAGTTTATGGGATTAGTGTTTTTGATGAATAAATGTAAAAGGACACCTATAAACACATCCCAAAATGGAGTGGTGGAGAATTGCTCTTCCTTTTGGTTTGCCACTTTGGGCATTTTTTCTTCAGAGTTAAAAAAAAGGTTGGGTCTTAGTTTCTTTATACATTGCCCCCTATCCTATTATTTCTATGTCCTTCTCCTAATTTTAATAAGACTTTTTAATTTGAAACTTGGAATATGACAGCAGACATTTGACAATTAAAGGTTTTTTCTCTTTCTATATAACTATGACTAAGCAGAGACATACAATATAGATGAAATGCAGTCAAAGCGACTGGGAATTTAACCCAATAAATAGTTTTCTTCCAGATGGAAATATAGCTTCTTCCTCTTCCTCATCCTTAGACAGTAGTGAACTGAATGATGGCCAGAAATGTATATTCTAGCATCACAAGCTGAAACTCTTGCACTTTTATTTTATACAGTAAAATGTATAGTTTGCATTTATTCCTTTTCTGGTCTCCAGACTAGGAGCCAGCGAAGTCTGGCATTGATTTGTGTTTTTTCAGCGGGTTTAAAGGGTTTAGTCGAGAGTTTTATGGCATTCATTTTATTGCTTAAATTCCTCAAAGTTTTCCCCAAAGGACCCTAGGCTATCCATTTTTGGAGTATGCTCTTGATATAGTATACAAAGCATGGCATGATCCTCAAGCCACAATAATTATGCAGTTATGACACAACACATGTTTATATAGTTTGCAAGTGTATATTCTGCCAGCAAACTTGAAATTTCCTCCAAACTGGTGCCCTCTATATTTTTGGCACTAAAATCTTAAATAACCTTCTTTTACAGCTATGAAGAAAATTAGCAGATATTTTTCTAACTGGTGCATCGTATATAGTTCAGCTTTTCCCCAATCTGGCACATCTCAAGGTAATGGGAGTGCCAGAATTCCCACCTCCCAGAAAATGACTAGGCTGGCATAGAAATTCTGAACTCTACACTGCTTATACATTTGGAGGGCACCAGGTTGAAGAAAGCTGTACTGTGGCATTCCAGGTGTTAAGACAATTCTTTCATCCTGGCCATACTATGAGATATGTTAGAATTAGCACATACATGGGGCTAATACTGTACGTAAGCCTTTGCCCATAGCAATGAAGCCCTATCTATTAAAAAGGATGACTTTGCTGTCCCTAAAATCTGAAGGATCCTTACTTTTTACCTTATTACCACTTTTGGAAGACCATGAACAACTGGCTGTCTCCACAGATATTGGGCTAGGATGGGGATTCAGCTGTGAGGCTGTTTGGTCTGGTGCCTGCAGGAAGGATGGTTTTGCTTTTATTCTTGTTTTTATTGATTGTTGTGAGCTGCCTAGGATCAGTATACAAGATAGGCATATAAATTCTGAAAATAAATAAAGGATATAGTTTAGGCTGCAATCCCGCATACACCTAAGATTACACTCCAATAATCTGGATAGGCTTTACTCTGCACTTTACCCCATAAACTTTCCTGATTAATATTAGCCCTAGTCAGAAACCTTTGTTTCTAAAGTTGCTTCACCCAAAACTTGCTCAATAGAATCCAAGATATTGGGCCTCAACCCTCATCTGAAATGTAAAAACAAGTTCACTGAAGCAAGGACTATCACAAACTCCCTAAAGTTGGTGCCTTATAGGGACGTTTGACTGTAACCTCTATAATTTCCAACCAGAACTGCTGCTGTACACAGTTGATATAAGTTATAGCCCAATAGACCCAAAGCAGTAATTCCCAACCTGTGACCCAGGAATAACAGGGAATCTGAGAGAGTAGTACAGATGGACCTGTACAATATAAAATGGGACAATTGTAAATATTTGAGACACATATCCAATGATTTGTTTTCATACAAACTATTTTATTTCTCCCTTCTTTAGTATTCATATTCATATTGTACATTCTTACTGTAATTTACACAGGAAAATATTTTCATTCTTTAGAAACACAGACAGCTGACAGCAGAAAAAGATCTAGTGGTATTTCCACTTGTGCTCCCTAGAGAATGAACAAAACAACTAAAACCGTATGAGGCATGGTCTTTATTACAATGATCTGGGAGAAATGGAAGACTTTGTTGGCAGAATAAAAGACCAAACCATACCTCTTGCATTGACTGGAAAGTTGTTCAAATCCAGGGAAATTAAATATTAATGTATTCTTCAAGACTCAAGGATCTAAGAGGACTGGACACACCGATAATAGAAGAAACAACATTGAAATGTGCTTTGAAAGGTACTTTTCAGAGAAATATGAACACTTTTAAAATAACTATGATTTTTAAGATTTTTAAACTTTTTTTCTTTGCTGTTTTTTGTTTTCTTTGATTTTTAAAGTATTTTGATATTTCCAGTTTTCATTTAATAAAAATTGGATGGTATCCTGACAGCTATTAGCTATAAAGAGACTAATAAATATTTGAAATAAGAAATAAATCAATTTGCAGAGGTCTTAGGAAGTTGCTTTTTACAACAAACGAAAGAGACTTGCCTCATTTTCAAACTATTGGCTGTTTAAACTTCCATTTGAAGCCTTTAATTCCTCTCTAAGAGATTGAAATAGCATCCATTCAAGAGTCATTGACAAACTTGGAAGAAAAAAAAAAGCAAATTATTAAGGGTTTTCTCAGCACCCAGCTAAAATGGAATCAAGTTTGAATCTCTACATTTAATTTACTGCACTACTGCTTCCGTTTTGCTTGCAAGATGCAGCAGGTATATTTAGTTCATCCCTCCCTTCCTAACTACCTCTTTTCCTTGGGCACAAAGGTTCTCGTTGCTTTTTATAGTTCCCAATGGTTGCTTTAATCACATATATTTTTCACTGAAGAAACTTTCTTATCTGTATCTGGGTCATTCATTTTCACGAGCACATACCAAAACAGCTAATTTTATTATAGCATAGTCAGTCTACTATGTGAAACTCCTCAGGAAGTTTGCAAATATACCCAGAAGAGAAATCTGGTTGGGGAAAGTAAAATACTCTAGAAACAAACCAACTTGGCACAGCTTTTCTTTTAAGGATACATTAGGTGGTATCTATAGGGATTATTCTGTTTTAGTGGTTTAGTTGATCAAATGCATTTCAGTCAATCTATAAGAAGATGAAGGAGGATCCTTTGTCTAGATGACTGTTAACCAGACAAAGCTTTTAATGTGTCTCAGTTATGTAATGCAGGAGATGGACTTTATGCTCTAACCATAAAAATTGGTTCAAGAAAAGACATCATATACCATGTCTAATCACACCTAGATTAAAAAATTGTAAAACTTTTATTTGATTATGAGGTATTGCTAAGATGATTTATCTATTGTTATTCCTATATTCTATACCAACAAATAAAATATTTACCTTATAAAAATAACAAATTTTTAAATACACCAAGTGAAACAGTGATGCTAATTAGCGATCCAGAAAACTCAGTCAAATATAAATTGCCAGTGTTGTACTGTAGTAACACTCTATATGTTTACATAAATTTTCTAAAAACTTGCTAAAAACATGGACTTCACTGTTCATAGTCCACTTCAGCAGTAAAAGTAAACGCATTCATATTACCAAAAAAAAAAAAAAAAAACCAGTTGCCCCTAACCCAAGTTTAAGAAGCTAGAATATATATATGCCGTTTTAAGATTAGAATTCAATATGCTGTTTGTGATTCTTCCATCTGCAATACTGCAAATAGTGCTTTATTGAAAATTCTACCTTGTGCAGGACTGCTGTTCACTGGGAAATTTGTTAAGCATCAGTTATTGTTATTCTGTTAAGCTTTGCAAATAAAACAGCTGGAACCACAATCAAGCAGGACTAATGGGTAGCTGCAGGAAGGTAAAAGAGTGCTCTCCAGGAAGGCAATTCTGAAAAACGGTAGGTGAATGCCAACCCTGACACAGTAGAAAAAATAGACTGGAAGGAGGAAGATCAGTTTTGGGAAAAGGAGAGGGGACCAAAATCAGATTGATAGGGATCTATTACTTCTTGTCCTGGAAGGAAAAGAAGAATAAGCAGCAGGAAATTTAATCACTAAAAATATTCCTTTTTCAAAATTTCAGAGGTGCTTGTGAAATTGAAACATAATTTTGCATAATCATTTTTTTTTCAGCAGACATAAATTACTTGGCAGAGTATCTTGAACTGTGGGATGATTCCTGGCTATTCGCCCTCACTGCCTGGCTTAAAGCTCAAGAGGTCATCTTTCCTAGAGTTGCCTGTACAACTGACAAAGTATGAATTTGTGGGTAAAGTCTTCTTTTGAAGAGGGGAGCTTGGGTGGGGGTAGCCAGAGATTAGTTATTCTTCCGAAAAGGGAGTCTCCTTTTATCCTTAGCAGCATTCCTTTTCCTCTTCTTGTTCAGGAAACTCTCCAGCTTCCCACTTTTCTTCAGATTTTTGTATTTCTCAGCAAGTTCCAATTTCTGTATTTCAGCTGTAGATGTCAAGAAGGGATGGAGGTTTTAATTCAAGTCATAAGTGTTCATAATATCCCAAGCAATTATTTTCTATAATCTACTATTTTTGCTTGCTAACATAATCTTTCAACTTGGTCCTATAAATCATCTGATACAGGTTAGTAACTAATTGCTATGAAAATAACATATAAAAACTCATTTAAGTACTGGCAGTGGCTATCCTAACCCATTCCTCATTCAATACTTTTGAGAATAATTCAGTAATTTAGAAAATGATTCAATAATTTATCTAATCTAGAGAAAGTAAACGCTGCTGGTGTAGACATGTTGGATGCCACACTCATACACTGTTTGCAGCAGAAACGGTGCTACCACTCGATCAAACCTTTGTAGCAGATGCCATCAAGGCCTCCACTGACTTGGTGATGATGATGATGAAGATACACACAAATAAATTCCTTATTCTTTAATTTGTACAAATCAACTAGAATAAACAGGGCTTCTAATATTTACTATTAATACAGGAAGGGGATCATATTAAGGTTAAGGTCGGTAGAGCAGCTATTATCCTACGTGGGAAAAGCTTACATTTCTTTAAGAAGAAAGGCTTCTTTCCTTGCTTGGCCAACTCTCTTTGCTGCCTCTTGAATGCCAGGGAATTTTCTCTCTTCTTCTGACATTTTCTCTGTGCTTCTTCCTGTTGTGTCTAAGGAACAACGAGGGGCAAGAAACAAAGATATTGCATTTTTCCTCTCCTCAATTTCATTTGCCTCATGGTTTTATGATCAATGCTCTCTACAGCTTTGTTTTTGCTAGTTGCCTGTACTTCAGAAGGGTAAACAGGCTGTTTAAATTCTTTTTAGCACCAACTCACCATTCGCTTAAGGAGCTGCTGCAATTTGTTCTGCTCTTCCACATTTTGGCTTTTCTTCAGTTGCTTCTGAATAACCTGCAAAATAGGAAAGCACCAACTCTCTAGGGATACCTGTTTTCATTCTGAAGGAAGAAACACAGGACACTGTTACATCATTACCTCTTTCTCCTTCTTCCTCACATCATTTAAGAAACTATATGTTTTTTCAAATACTTCTGATTTATATTCCCCAGAGAGGTCATCAAAACGAGGATCTCTGGACACCTGTGGAGGAGGAAATGGAATCAATTCTAGCATCTCCGCAATGTCAGAAAATATTTGTATGTTCTAGGAAGCCCATGCTATGGAAGCACCAGTCTGGCCATATTCCTTTCTCTCATTTCAGCATTTTGCTTTTGAAAATAAGAAACCAAAGTTATTCATTTCTTCCAAATAAGTTTCATGCTCGAATATTCAAATATTCCCCCAGTATTTTTATCGCTCGTTCTTTTTTTTTTAACCACAAATATCTGTTTTGTCTGTTCCAACACAAGAATACCCACCTTTTTCTTAACGGGCACAACTTGCCGCAAAAAAGGTACTGGCAGTTTGGCTGAAGTTTCCAAAGGCCTGCAGAACAGGAAAATAAACACAATCTTTTGGGTGGAAAAAAAGATTCATGGGGTTTTACATATTTGTGGCTTCATTCTTAAAACTATTCCTCTGAATACAATAAATAAGTATCAATGGGCATCAGGACACAAAATATATGCTTGTAATTGTTTTTGTGAGCCAAATGTCTTTCATTCACTAGGCTTTAGAAGGACTGAATAACCATAGTATACAGACTTCGCTAAGAACGTGTTTCACAGAGGCAGCTTTGTATAATCAGATAAGAATTGTTCTGTTAGTCAGTGGCCTGGTGTAACCTAATAGCCCAGACAGCTTCCTCCAAGCTCACACAGCTGTGCTTTGCAAAGAAGTTTCTAGCTTAAGCAAAGCTGGCAAGACTCTGTGACTAATAAAGGAAATCTAACTATATCCTTCAATATGCTTTTAGGATTTGCTGCATCCATAGGACTGAAATCACTTCTTGTCAACTAAGCCTATCTTCTCCTTCATAAAGAACTTTGAAACAAATTGCCCTATAAGGCATCTAGTCCATGGGGTTGTCAGCTGGAATTCCCTGAACCTTGCAGAAAGGAGACGCTTGCAAAATCCAGTAATATCTCAGAATTTAAGACTCCAAGACATAAAACTAACAACCTCTGGCTACATTACAGCCGTTTCCAGGAAGACAGGCTCTTCAAGGTTACTTCTAAAAAAATTGATAATTCTAATTTTTTGAAGTGTGAGCTGTCCTCTTCTTTTCCTGCTGGCCATTATAAAAAATTCAGAATTTCTTTTTTCTTCAACCCTATCCTTTAAATTTTAAGTTTAAAAGCATGGGTTGCCTTGTTTTGGATGATCTAAGGTCCTATTTATTAAAGAGCAGGACAAATGTATTTTAAATAAATAAAATCTAGTTTTAAGGGAAGAATATGCCCAGCCCCTTAAAACTCTTTAATATCTTACAGTACAGTTGACATCAAGAGGCTCACTAGTTTCAGAAGCAGGGGCGAAATGCTCCTGGTTCGGACCGGATCGCCCGATCCAGTAGCTATGGAGGCGGTAGCAAAAATCCCTGCCTCCCCCCCATTGCCCAGCTGAGCTGCGCAATCATCAGAGGCTTTTTTTTTATTTTTTAAAGCATTTTTTCTACAACCTCTTTGGCCGAAGAGGTTATAGAAAAAATGTTTTTAAAAGAAAAAAAAGCCTTTGCCGATCAGGCAAGTCAGCTGGGATCGTCAAAGGCTTTAAAAAAACAAAAAAGCTTCTGCCCATCAGGCAAGTCAGCTGGGATCATCAGAGGCTTTAAAAAAAAAAGAAAGCCTCTGCTGATCAGGCAAGTCAGCTGGGATTGTCAGAGGCTTTAAAAGCCGAAGAGGTTGTAGAAAAAATGGTTTTAAAAGTTAAAAAAAAAGTTGGCCACGCCCACTCAGTCATATTACTCCTCACCACCAAGCCACGCCCACAGAACCGGTAGTAACAAATTTTACATTTCACCACTGTTCAGAAGATACCATCTGTTATAGTTACAACTCTGTTAGTAATTCTCTTAGAATAGCTGTATATTCAATTAGGGTGTATCAGTTTTCTAAACCTCTTGCTACATATCATCAGTCTACAGAATTTCAGTTGATAAATGGCCTTCCTTTTAACTAATGATTGATTAATCATTAGATTCAAATGCATGACAATCTACGAAAATATCAAAACTTTTTTGAGGTGATAGAGGAAATGCAATCTGTCTGTCTGCTGAATTTTAATTTGTCTGTCATTATCAAAAGGGAATTAATGATTTAATTTTCCTTTTTTAAATTCATAACGCAAGCCTATATTGTCTTGAGAAATAAGGACATGAATCTCTAATTTTTTCATTGTTGATTAAAACTAGATTCACCACATAAATTACACATGTAAAGTTAAGCATGTGTTCTATACAGTAAATTCTAGTGAGCTTTACAAACTTACTATATAGTAAACTTACAAGCCCTACAAATTTACTGTATAGTAAACTCCAATCACTTTTACAACTTTTACAACCCAAACAATGCAATAAATTTCCCTGACAGTTTTTTTAGGCCTTGGGTGAGACACTGCAAAATTGGTAATAGGATTAGGATTTCATTTCATTTTTATTTCGATTTAATTACATACAATTAATGTGATTTCTTCCTACTAAACTATTTTCACTTTCTGATGTACTAAAAATAGAATTTGATAATAATTTTTTGAGAACTCTGGGTGTCCCACCTAAGTTTTGAGGAGACCAAATGTCAACCTGAAGCATCAGATTATGCAATTGTGATTTAAAGCATACTTCAGAGGGGGAAAATGAACTCAGATGACCAATTGTTGTTGTTGTTGTTAGTTGCGAAGTCATGACCGACCCATCATGACCCCATGGACAACGTTCCTCCAGGCCTTCCTGTCCTCTACCATCCTCTGGAGTCCATTTAAGCTCACACCTACTGCTTCAGTGACTCCATCCCAGATGACCAATACACCCCATCAAATCAAATCAAATCCTATCTTCCAGTGCTCCCTATCAAAGCAAGGAGAAAGCAAAGGGAATCCCTATGCTGTCCTTAGCTAAATAAGTTTCATAGTCAGATGCTACCTTTCCCTGGAAGCATATTCAAACCATATATATCTGATCCTTGGCAATTATCTCCTTAGGCAAGGAAATATAGGGACCGAAGCAAAGAATCTTTTCAATTCTATTAATTTCCTATGGGGACAAGTTTTATAGATACTACAGACTAATTCTTAGTCTTGCCCTATTGTTTTAGATACCACTGCCTAACAATTCTTTTGTTGTTCTGTTAATATAAGAATAATAGTATATAAATATGAAAATTGAAGGAAGTATTTTAATTCTATTGGCATAGTTAGATTCTAATAGACTGATTGTATTTCAGTAATTCCACTCTCTGTGGCAAATTAATTAATACAATCAGAGTATTGAGCAGACAAAAACACTAATAAAAAGCATTCAGACTGTGAATCTAATTACATGCTTTTATCGTTCCATTTCCTTTCTCCCTGCATTATCTCTTGAGAAGATTTCATTTTTCTTAGAAGTGAAAAGGCAAAATCTGTAACTCATTACAGGAATGAAAATTTCAAACAGAAGTGACTCCTCCGATTGAAGGTGGATTTTCATATTTAGCGAGAGGCTTCTTTTTTAAAATGACTCCCTAGGAAGCATGTTTAGATCAAAATTTATATTCGTTTAAGTAATTTTTTTTGCAGAAAAACTGAAACACTGAAACGACACAGTTTGACAGTTATATAAACTACACTCAAGTTTTTTTAAAAAAAGTAAATGTGACTTCCATACATTTAGGAGGAAAGCTTTTGCACTGATAAAACGTTTGCAGCACCTGCTTCCAAATCTTTAAAGAAGCCAGAACATCTCCTGAGCTTGCACGGCCTCAGGAAAATATGCACTGAGACCTCTTAATGCCTTAGAGGGCATTAGGTCATAAAGGATAGTAGCACACTGGATTTTGTGTGAAATCCATTCTTAACAGCAGAGACTATAGGCATTCTCTGGGGAGGGCTTCTTTTAAACTGGGTTCTACAGGCCTTGAGTGGGGTCCCGGAAGGACTAAGCGGGAAAAGAACTCTCAAATTCAGTGATGCCGGACACCCCCAAACATCTATTCTTTTCCTCTCATTGGCTGCATGTCATCAGTATTTGTCACCCCCGCCATTTGTAGGTGGTCTATGAAGCAGGTTCTGGCTGCCTTTCCTTCATTCCACTTTTCTTTCTTCCCACATGCACGAGCATACAACTGAATTTCTTGCCTGCCTCCAAACTCCAACAAACGATTTCCTCATCAGTCCATTTTTTCTAAAGGACAGCTGAAAACAGAGCTAGAAATCCAGGTGTTTCTAACTTGACCCAAGAGCAATTTTGGTGAGTCTCTCCTTCTTCGCTTCCCATTTTGCAAACTACATTTGGGTATCAATAAAGGAGAATATTTGTAGCTCAGGGTTAAAATGCGGGGTCCTTTGTGCTTTCTGAGCTTGTTTGTTTTCTTGCAGACATTTCATTACCCTAACTAGGTGTGTCTGCAAGAGGCCAGCTTAATCATCAAGGTGACATCTTGTGCATACCAATTTAAAATTAAATCCAACTGAGCCACATGGGAATTAATAAAGCAATCTTTGTTAAATTCAATCTTTGTTATTTTTTTTGGTAAAAGTAAATATTAATTTTGCATTCTATAATAAACACTTTTCATTTTGTTGCCAATTTTCTATCACTCATGCCTTGCCTCTTGATTAAGCGTTCTGAGATCTATTTTTTTTAACCAATATGTTTTGAAAAACCCTTCTTCTAGTGGGATCTCTCTCCCATTCGCTCCAGAAGCTGGGCTTAGATTTGGTGTTATTTCACCAACACCAAAGAGATATATTACCACCAGGGATATATAGCTCAAGTCATAAAGAAAACTACGACGAAGATATCTAAAAGGTATAAATAAATGAATTAACTGTGAACTATATATGATTTGCCATAAATATCTTTCCTCCCTATTCAAAATAATAATGGGTGGCCAGAATCCTCTGCCTCTGCTGTAGAAAATAAATCTTTATGGTAAGTCTAATGCAGGCAGTCCTTGACTTATGACCACAATTGAGCCCAAAACTTCTGTTGGTAAGTAAGACATTTGTTAAATGAATTTTGCCCCATTTTACAACAGTTCTTGCCATATTTGTTAAGTGAATCACTGCAGTTGATAAGTTAGTAACAGAGTTGTTAAGTGAATCTCAATGGCTTTCCCACTGACTTTGCTTGTCAGACGGTCACAAAAGGTGATCACATCACTCAAGCACACTGCAACTGTCATAAATATGAATCAGTTGCCAAGTGTCCAAGTTTTGATCACATGAGCATGGGGATGCAGAAAAGGCTGTAACTGTGAAAAACGGTCGTAACAGTGACTTTGAACAGTCACTAAATAAACTGTTGTAAGTCGAGGACTATCTGTATATTTGTTTTCTACCATAAGGTAAAAGTAAAGGTTCCCCCGCACATGCGTGCTAGTCATTTCTGGCTCTAGGGGGCGGTGCTCATCTCTGTTTCAAAGCTGAAGAGCCAGTGCTGTCCAAAGATGTCTCTGTGGTCATGTGGCTGGCATGACTAAGTGCAGAAGGTGCACGGAGTGCTGTTACCTTCCTGCCAAGTGGTCCCTATTTTTCTACTTGCATTTTTTACATGCTTTCAAACTGCTAGGTTGGCAGAAGCTAGGACAAGTAACGGGAGCTCACTCCGTTATGTTGCACTAGGGATTCGAACCGTTGAACCGCCGACCTTCAAATCAACAAGCTCAGTGTCTTAGCCACTGAGCCACGGTGTCCCCTGATTTCCTACCATGGCATTCTATAATAGTACATACTAAAGTTATCCATGAACATGGACAATAGGTTTAGATGTGTACCATTTCTTCTAAAGAATCATTTTTTCAGCATCTTCCTGCTGAAGGATGTTTGTCTTAGGAATATGAGTTCAGCTTCAGTATTCATGAAGAATAGCTAACTACCGTATGTCTCTTAAGAGATTAGCATCAAAGACAACAAGGCAGCTGTGCTTGTGGTGGAATGGGGCAAAATGATGGCAGAAATGCATGTAATTTCCCCTGACTAGGGTCTCTCTGAGGGAAACTCCTCAGCATCACTGAATTTGCAAAGCAACTGTGGAATCTTTAGAGAGTTAGATTCTGAGGAGAAGGAACATCCACTGAAAGGACAAAAATGGATTATTGCCAATCATATCGAGGCTATACAGATTATCATTTAGTTCTCTACTGCCAAAAAACATGAGAGTCAAATGGCTGATTTGAAGAACTGATATAGCTGGGTGCTGTATGATCTGTTTTCTCTCCTTTGCAGGAAGATTAAGCCTTTTTAAACTTGTTGCCAATAACAGTGACCAAATAATGTAGTATCTGATAGAAGGACACTCTAGTTTGTTGATCAAAAAACCCAGCTCCTTGAAAAGTCTACACCAGGATCTGGGAATCTTTTGAATAATCAAAGATAATTTTATCAACAGGTTATGGAGTAGAAATATATGTGTATTTTCAGAAATCTGATCTACAACAGTCACCATAATCCTTGCAAATACTCTGGAAGCTGAAACAGGCTGAATAGAGACGCCTTGAAAAGATAATGGGTGTCTTAAAAGTTACATCTCAGGAACATACTATGAGATGAATTGACTCTGTATGTATAAGTCCAGAGCATTTTTTTCTGGGAACACTCCATTTATCTCAGGGTTTCCATCTGGCACTTGTGCTATTTGGTTTAGTTTATGCCTAAAATCTTGTGCCATTATGTGTTCCTCTTATGGACAATTAGATATGTAAAGTTAGATGGCATTTAGTCCTTTTGGACTTGGAAGATTGGGTGAAGTAATCTAGGGCTGGTGAGTTATATGGTGTAGCCCTCTTTAAGTTACATGCATTTCATATGATATGGGTCTACTGATGGGTGAATTGCATTAGACTCCCATGTATATGGAGTTGTTTACACCTCCCATCTTACAATGAGAAAAGGTTTTCCCCCAGCATTGGGATTAAGACTGTTGAAATTGTGTGGGGTTCCACCAAGATGAGCTGTATTCCTTGTGGGTCAATTATTTTTCTTTGAAAGAGATTGAGATAAATGTTTGGGATAGTCTGATTCCTGCTGTTTTTGGCTTCATATTTTTGTGTTGATTAGGAGAATAGCTTTCTTTTAATCCTTAGACTCAATTAGGACATTATCTAGGGCCTGTCTGAATAGTTTGCCATCCTTGAATGGGCCTGATATGAAGACTGATTTTAATTTAGAGTACTTTCCAGTTCATCAGCTGCAGCTGTCTTAAACTGTTATGTTAGCTGTAGTGCCTTTGGCTGAGAACTGCATACTGTTTTCGCCAGCATCTGCCATTAAGGCAGAGACTTTGCTAGCTTGTTCATGCCTTACATGGGCTCCCTATCTTCTAGAGGGATGAATTGAAATAGCTGTTTGCCCCACAGGGTTGAAGCTTTGTGAAGATGAACATGGAAAGCCCTTGTGGCCTTAGCTGAAACCCTGCGTGCATTTTATTGTAGAATCTCTGTCTCCAGGACTGTCTAGGTCCAGGATATCTTCCCTGTCTTCATTTACTATTATTCCCAAAACCAGAGCTGTCATGTGAGTATCTGCTAAGAAGTCTTAATTAGGTCTACGGCTACCTATGAAAAGGAGATGGAAGAATTTTCATTTTCTCATTGCCCCGAGAAACTTCTATTCTGCTCTGAAGATTTTGTTAAAGGTGTCAGGGAATAGAAGGCGTAAGACAGTAAATAGCTACAGGTAATCTCTGACTTACAATCATTTGTTTAGCGACCAAAGTTACAACAGCACTGAAAAAAGGACTTAAGACCAGTCCTCACACTTATGACTGGTGGAGCATCCCCATGGTCATATTATCAAAATTCGGGTGTTGGGCAACCAGTGTGTATTAACAACAGTTACAGTGTTCTGGGGTCATGTGATCACGTTCTGCAAACTTTTCAATCCTCTTCCGTCAAGGAAAGCCAATGAGAGAAGTTGGATTTGCTTAGCGACAGCAAGGTTCACTTACATGCAGCTATTTGCTTAACAACAGCTCCAAAAAAGGCTGTAAAATTGGATGTGACTCACTTAACAACCACCTTGCTTAGCAATGGAAATTCTGGTCCCAATTGTGATTGTAAGTTGGAGACTACCTGTACTGGGAAACGACTGCTAATACTGGGTCCAACAAGGAATTTGTTAGGCTCAGGCATTCCAGTTCCTTCAGTCCTGAGGTCCTGCAGACTTTCCTAAGCAGCTGGGGAATTCTGCTTTGTGGAAAAGCCTGATAGATTTGAGATTTGGTTTTGGACTTTATTCTCATCTAGGGAAAATCCCCCTCCTCCCTATCTGACCCGTCTTGAAGGAAAGTTTTTGAATCATACGTAATATGTACACCTCATCCTAGGAGTACGTGCCGTTCCTTGCTTGCTTGGTGATTTGATTCTTCCCCCTGTGATGGTGGACTGAACATTGACCTCTTTTTTTTTTTTTTAAATTTGATTTATATGCCTCCCTTCTCCGGAGACTCAGGGCGGCTTACAATGCATTAAGCAATAGCCTTCATACTTTTGTATATTTATACAAAGTCAGCTTATTGCCTCCACAAACTGGATCCTCATTTCACCTACCTTAGAAAGGATGGAAGGCTGAGTCAACCTTGAGCCTTGGAGAGATTCGAACCAGCAGTAAATTGCAGGCAGCTGTGTTAATAACAGGGTGCTTAGACCACTGTACCAGCAAGGCTCTCAAGACCTCTGTTGCAAATATCACGTAGCTTATTAGCCACTTATCTAACAATCTAGTCTCCTGAGGAGAGCATAGTAATGAGACAAGAGGGCATATTAATGTGCCATTCAAGGTTAATCAGTTGGCTTACTTCCAGCCATAAGAGAGGACATATTAATGGACAGGTGTCCATGACCCTGCTAGGTCTGTTTTCCCTAGCCTACGTTTGTGTAGAAGATACAAAAGGGGGGGAAAAACTTTGAGATCCATCTAGACTCAGGGAGTTCCTGGCAGAGTAAATGGGCTTTCACATAGCTATTTTCTCTCTTTGGAAACAATGTTAGTTTTAATCTAAACCCTGCCTCTGGAGTAAGTGAAGAATGCCCTGCTTCCACTGAAAAAAAAACAACCCAAGAGGTTTCAGTTTGAAATTTGGAAATGGATGAGACAGAATTGATGAAATATCAGATCACATCTCCTTGGAAAGATTTATGTTGATTGATACCTGGCTTCAGAGCTATGAACAAAGGCTAATGATACATAGCAAATGTGCAGAGATTTGGGGACGATGTTCAAAGAGGCACCAAGCGTTGTATTTCCATTCTTGTCTGCTTTAATGTCTAAATTACTCTTCAGATCAACATTTACAAAATGCACCAAAGCACGAGGAGCTGTGATACAATAGAAGCCAACCAGCCACATAAAGAAGATCAGAGCTGTTCATAAGTAAGAGGAAAAATTGTTAGATCAAGTCAGAAACAGCAGACTGCCAGATGGATACTTAAGCTTTTAGATCTTTACAGGTTCCACCCAGCTGAGAAAGCTAACCATCATCCTTGTACACTCCTTTCTAGGCTGAATGCATTATACATGTATAGTTCCTGAAAGGTAAACTTACAATTCCTAAGCTCTGCACTAAGTGGAAACATGACATTCAATCTCAAGCATGTTCAACATTTACAGTATTATGATGTTCATAGTAATGTACAGACTCTGGAAATACATAGCAGAAGTTGTGTTTACCTGTTTTTGCTCAAACATGGTCTTTTCTTTGTTTTTGTGACATCGGGTGGCCTTTTCTTAGATGTCATTTGCTGATAAGCCTTCATCCCAACTTGGTTTCTCATTTGTAACAGCTCCTCAAAAGACATTGAAGACAATTCTGAAGGAAAAGGAAAATGCAAAGATATACAGACGTACATCAAAGTATTGTAAATATTTACACCAGTCTTTGGCAATCTAAGCACTCTCAGATGTATTGATTTAACATGTGGAATTTTTCAGCAATGGACCATACTACTCAAGGTAGGAAAGCTGATTGACATATTTAATTATTTATTTTCTCACCACTGCAATCCAGAGACTCTGGGCAGGTTACATAAAGAATAAAATCAAATCAAGACATTTATAAAAGAATAAAACAACCTGCACAAAAAACATAAAACAATAAAAACAAAAACTGAATGTGGCTTGATAAAATCAGGAGAAGCAGACATGTATTGAATGCTGCAATTCCTTAAACAGAAAAAATTGCTTCCTCCATGTTCTCCAAATACATAGACAAACAGATAGATAATTTTTTTTCGATCATTGCTTGATAAAATTACCATCAGTAAAATGATAATGCAAAACTATCCCCCAACAACAAGAACTATTAGCAACCATTTGTGGGCAAAGGTTACACCTAATGTAGTAAAATGTGTTACTTTTAGAGAAATAAATATATTTTGATATTTAACAGATAGTGCAGATAACAGCTATCAAAGTGCCATGCAAATTTAAATAAAAGAGGGGTTATCAACTGGCAGTAAATGTCCCTTTAGAACCGGCAATACAGAAGAATATGAACTGTGGTTTTTATACCTATATCACAGGGGCAATGTCAGGTTCCCTATGGAGTTTTCCTATATTTCCCTTCCAGAACAGCTACAGGGAGCACATTAAATCAAGCAAATGATAAAACACTCCTAAATTTGGGAACTATGATATGATATAAACATAAGGCTGGTTTAGTCACTAAAACTTGATCATTTGGAATTATATTGTGATTGAAAATAGCAATCCTTGACCTTCTATATCTTAGTACTATATTGATCTAACTTGATTAACTCGAAGGTTAAGATAGCATCATTGGAGAAACCATACAAATTCAGTGTCTTTTGAATCACTCTGTTTCCCAGGAAGGTGATTATTTTATTATTTATTTATTTATTACATTTTTATGCTGCCCGTCTCCCCCACAAGGTACTCTGGGCTGCTGTTCATACTGTTGTATAGTCATATATAAGCTCTGTGTAGCAATTGTGCTTGGGCTTTAGTTGCAAATAATTTAATTGCAGCAGGGATAAACTGCTCCTGTAGAAAAATAGTATTTTTTCATTGCTGATGCAGATCTCTGTGAACTATGGGATACCTAGTCCACCTGGGCATTTTTGCTTGAAAAACTCTTCCTAGTTACTCTTACATCGATGCACTAGGCATATTAGAGCTATTTTTTCCATTCACATCAGAGCCAGATTAACAGTTCTATGCACAGAGCGGCAGTATTTATACAATATAGTACCATAAGAACTTGTAATACCTCAATAAAACAGGTTATGTGCCTTGGTTAGAGAGCTCACCCCATAACTATATTTGCTTAACTTCATGCAAAACTTCTTATATCAAAAATATTTTCTTGGCTGCTATGATTTCCCTTTAGTACCCCTAGAAGGAAATAACTGTACCGACTAGAAATCAGCAGTAAATTGAATCACAGTCTCAAGGCAGATTTTTCTTTAAATGAAAAGTAATTTTTTAAAAAAATATTATGTTTGTGCCTTAGGTGCCAAATCAAGTATATTCTGTTCACCTGGTCATTTAATAGCTTTTTAAAGGTTTTTAAAAATTATTATTTTACACATCTTAAGCCTTCCCTGATTTGTCTTACTGGCAACAGTAATTTATATTATTGTTATGGGATTTATATAACTTGTCTTAAAGATTAAAATAATGAGAAAGTTTTCACTAAAACGAACACGTTATTTCTATGGTGATGTTTCAGAAGAAAATTTTATCTTACTTTTTCTAAGCTAAATCCAATGCTTATGGCATCAATTAGATATGTCATGTACCTGGCTAACTCTCTTTTAGACAAAGAAAAAAATGTTTAAGGTGACACACTATTTCTAATGATAGCATTTATATATCCTAATACATTACATAGCAGAGATAAATTTTTAAAATATTTTCTGGGTTTCCTACTTTGAGCAGAGAGTTGATTTGCTATCTGTCCTGCCTCCACTCCTGAGTGAAGTTTTAACTCAGATTTTCCAATTTTTCTGTGAAATATGAAATGGTAATTTAGTCAAAATCATGCAATATTCTGCTAAATTAACCACTAGAGCTGATTATATACTTGGGATATAAGAATAAAGATGAATTACAATGAATCAAATTGCTGCCTGCTTTAACCAAGTGCTATCTACATCAACTGGCAGATTTTTGTAGGATCAAAGTAAGTTTATTTCCCACCTCTTGCCACTCAAGATTAATTTGTGAACTAAAAAAAGCCAATTTGTGATCTTCCTGTGTGTAAGAATGCTGCTTCCTCTATATAAAACATACCTATGGCATTTCTCCATCCCTAGATTACAAAATGAATTTGCTTTTTTAAATATTGGTTTCTTTCTTCTTCAGCTGAAAGGGCTCTTGATAGCCATTTCACACTTGCAAACGAGGTATAATTAGTGTGTCTTTCCTATGACTTATTTGAACAGCACATTTCTTAGTGCTGTTCAGAAAATTACTGTAAATAGAGAAAGAGATGCTGAAATCATTGAAATCTTTCAGAATGTAAGCCCTTCTTTTTCCTTACATTCACATGTACTAAAAAGGGCTCAGGGTTGCTTTGTGGTAAATGGGTGCTGAAGTGTCATCACAGGTCAGGCAATGAAAACCAAACATGTTCTCCATATTCACTATAGTATACTACAAACACTTCCTTTCACTTGAAGCTTAAGAGCAGAATTTTGAAGTTAGTGCGCTAATACTTCAAAACTTTTTATATTTGACTATACTTCTGAATGATTACTTAGTTCATATTTTTCACACTGCTATAGACTTTTGTATTACAAGTATATTCTAAGGGAATATTTTTCTTTTTATATATAAATAGAAATAAAATTCTAAACTATTGTAAAGCTTTAAGAATAATAAGAATACAACAAACTAAATTAGAGCAGGAAATGTTTAAAAGAAAAAGAAAGAACAGAAAAAAAATAAAAGTGCAATAAGAAAAGAAAATTTTAAAAAGAGCAAGACAGAAAGAAAAATATAAAGATGTAAACAGTGGCTTTTGATATACTTCACAGCAAGAACAATTATATCTTAACCCTTCTCTCTAAAGCAGGAGTGTCAAACTCATGCCGTCACGGCAGCATCACGTGACATATCGGGACTTTTCCCTCCTTCGCTAAACTGGACGTGGCCAGCGTGTGATGCATCCGGCCCATTTGACAACCCTGTTCTAAAGTTATAGCTCTTCTTTCCATATTTATCTTGTTCAATTAGCAAAACCATAAATCACAAATTCATTTTTTTTAATTTTAAGCAAAAAATATATAAGAGGTTTCCAGTTATCAATGAATGTAAATACTGACTTTTTTCTAATCAAAGAAGTTACTTTATCCATTAACAGCAAGATCTGTTAATTTTGCCAATTATTCCTCTACAATGGGTTCTGCCAAGTGTTTCCATATCTGCGCATGTAATATTCTTGCTACAGTAATCATTATTGAAAAATTCTTCCATGACTCTTCAAGCTGTATATCACTTTGGTGGTCATGTGACCAGCATGACAGAGGTACACAGAACATCTTATTCTTCAAAATCTTCTGTTTTAATATATGTGTTGAATCCATTTTTAAAATTGTTTTTAACCTATCACCAAGCATTATCTCTTGTTCACATCTCCAATATATATTGGAAATACCTTCATATATTCTAATTTCTCTGGCATTGTGTACCAACTAAAGAAGTCTTTTTCAACCAACAGAACACAAAACTAGTTTAAATAGCAAATGACTCTTTTTTCTAAATGAGGAAAGAACTCACATGAGAGTCAGAGTGGAGAAGGTCTGAACAGTGTTTCCAGCTTCATACACTGAGCAAAGGAACTGAACATCTCAACACAACAATGCCTTAGAACAGCGGTTCTCAACCTGGGGGTCGCGACCCCTTTGGGGGTCGAACGGCCATTTCACAGGGGTCGCCAAAGCCCTCTCTTGCCCCTCCCCACGCCTTCACTCACCCTCACCCTCTGCCTCTGTTGGATCGCCCGGTCGCCGTTCACTTACCCCGCCCACTCCCAATCTATTGCTGCCTCCGGAGTCCCAGCTGATGGCTAGAGGGAAAAAAACTTTAAATTCTTGCCGCAGGGCTTCAAAGAGCTAGCTGCAAAGAGGTAAATTCCTGGAGCAATTTTTTTCCCCCTAGCTATGCTGAAAAAGCGAAATTGAAAGTAAAGAAGGGTCTTTGCTGCAATGTGACAAAATGAGGCAGAGAGATTTCTTTTTCTTTTTCCTCACCAAAAAAGGTAGGTGCAAAACTGCAAACAATGGGAAATTTAGGGCAAAAGAGGAGGTTCAAGATTTTAAAACACAAAAGAAAAAAAGCTCTATTTAACTAGGGAATTGTAATAATTGAGATACTATTAATTGTATATTGTGTTGAAAGCAGAAATGGTTAAGTTGTGGTTTGGAGGAATATATGGGGGAAATTATTTGGTTTATTATTATTGGTAAATATAATTAATTGATTTGTAAGAAATTGGGTTGCATGGAAATAATTGGAATATTCATGTTCATATTGATTAATATACAAAAAAGATAGTTATATAACTAATTGATTTATATTAAAATGTTGAATTTGTATTAAACAACTGATTACATAATTACATAATTAACCAATGTGAGGATGGATATAAAAATAGATGACAATGTGAAGGGGTATAATAAAGAATAGAAGGGAAAAATTGAATTTGATTAAGATTAGAGATGAGGATGAAGGGTAATATTGGTTTTTTTAAAAAATAGATGAGGAATAAATATGGTAAAAAGGAAATATAGAAATTGTAAATTTAATTGAAATGACTAAACACTGTGTTGGAAGAAATATCCTTCT